CTAACTCCTGGGCTCAAGGGATCCTCCTGCCTCAGCCTCCTGAGTAGCTGGGACTACAGGCATGCGCCACCATGCCTGGCTAATTTTTTCTATGTATTTTTAGTTGTCCAGCTAATTTCTTTCTATTTTTAGTAGAGATGGGGTCTCGCTCTTGCTCAGGCTGGTCTCTAACTCCTGAGCTCCAACGATCCACCCGCCTCGGCCTCCCAGAGTGCTAGGATTACAGGCGTGAGCCACCGCGCCCGGCCGACAGATGAGTTCTTTCTCTGTGACATGAATTGTATATTTTTTTTCCCAGCTGAGGATGAATTATGTCATTACATTTTGGGGTGGATGGTTATATAGCAATAGATTACTGGAACAGCCATAGCACATGAAAGGAGCTTGGAAAATTCTTTGTTAAATGAATTAATGAATGAAAGAAGAAATGATGCACAAACCTAGGAGAACCGGTTTACCTCAAAAATTGTATTTTTCTTGTTAATTCCTTAGAGTGCTCATGAAAGTGTTAGGTTTTCGTCTGAAATTCTTGGTTCTTGGTGCACTCACGGCCGAAAAATGACCAGACACGCCGAGTTAGGCAAGCACAAAAATGAGGTTTATTGAGGAGAGAAAGACAGGATTATAGGGCAAGAGCAAGATACAGGTTTGCAGAGCATGATACATACACCACAGATGATGACCGGACCCATTGTGGCAACAGGGCAGGCAAGAGGAAGGACTGAGAGAAAGTGAGCTTGGCTGTGGTCTGCGTCCTATTTTATAGTGTCCAGATAGGGACCTCCCTTGTGGTTCAGAGGTCAGCATGGAACCACTTTGATTAGTTGGAAGTCACATGACCTGAGCCTTGACTACACATGTGGGTTCTAGGTCACTTTCCGGACTTTATGGCACCCATGCAGCTTGGCCCATGTTCTAGAGCATCCTCTGCATTCTTTTGCGGCTGGCGCGCCAAGTTCTGACTGGCAGATTCATAGGGTATTCCCTCCTCCCCCAGGTATGGAGAGTCAGGGTTGGGTAGGACCAAGATGGGGGCAACAGCACCCACTTTTGTCCCTGGGAGACCTGGAATCCCTCACTATCTGTCTAACAAAAGTGCTTTAGCAGGGTTTTGGGCCTCTGCTCTCCAGTTCTGTGGTGTGTGCTCCTCAGACAACCTGGGTCAGTCTCTGTGGAGGAAGTTACCGGTATCTCATTTTCAATCCCCTTGTGGGTTACTTAGTTTAACACAGAGAAAACTGTTAGACAAGTCAGTACTCTCTACACAAATGAATACCTGGTCACAGGGGCCCTAACAAAGGGTGACCCACGTTGGCTTAGCCTTGGGGCACATCCATCGCAGCCCCCACCCCTGCAGACTTGGCTCCGAGCAAGAGCCTGGCATGGCAGACAGGGGTGAGTGACAGCACGCTCCTGAGCCTTCACAACCGAGCACATCCTCTTTGCTGTGGCACGGAATCACGAATGCTAGTGGTCAGTTAGGGGACACAGGGTACAGCCAGAGCGAGCTGAGACAGTGACTAGCTGGCAGTGGCCCAGCCTGACGTGATCAGGTGGTGAGCCAGGTGCTCTCAGCAGCCTAAGGCTACAGAGGAGGACTTGAACGTTCGGAGGTGGAGGATGCACAGAAATGGTGGGTCTCTGTGGTGCACCTGGTCCTGGCACAGGTGGCTTCAGAATGAGTGTTACACTCCCGGGCACCTTGGCAGACTCTCTGGAGCTAATGTCCAGGGGCTGGTAAGCAGTCATTGGCACTGCACCA